AAAAAAAAAACATTTACTCACAGTTTTAGCAGTCAGCCATGTTGAATGGTTTCTTCTCATCTTGGTGTTCTGAATGTTGTGAAGTTCAGTTTGATACTGTGACCAGCGCTTTTCCAGTCGCACTTGTCTACTCTCTTGACTTGCAAGTCTTTTAACAGGATAAAAGTAGACAAAAGCGGATTTTAACATTCCAGCATTATAAATATACAAAAAAAGCAAAAGGTTTATCACAGTTACACCTCATGTTAAGCATCATCTCCGATCCTTCCTAGAGCCGAAAAAATGCAATTAAAATCGATACCCTTGTTCGCAGAATGCAATCCCTACTGAAGTGTTTCTATCCCTGACCCTTTAGGGCCGAAGCTTTGCTCTTGGCGCTAGTGGATAAAGTTGAGTTAGGGGAGGAGTAGGAGGACAGTTTCCAAGAAACCTTAATAGATCCGTTTTATGACCCAATACTTAGTACCTGTCCTGTATCAGGGACTGTATCCTTGCATCAATAGTGCTGTTGCTTTTGTATGATAACAGGTCAGTGGTTTCTTTTCTCCAGTATTTGTTGAGCGTAGGAAAATTTTCCAAAGGAAAGGAAAAAGGTACCGCCGTCTGAAAACAAACAAAACCTTGAGCGCTTTGCAAATGCTTTTAACAGACAAATTGGGTTATTTTACCTTCGTATATTTTAGTTAAAGTCAAGTGCAGAATGAAGATTGTTGCTTAGATATATCTAAGGTGCTTCTCAATTTAGAGTGAAACCAAGCGGAAATCGATATACAGTAAAGTCACCGGCCTCATGATCACCAATGTATTGCGAGGGGAGACAACTAGCATTTACTTACTAGTAAAAAGTAAGAATCTTCCAAAGTATAATATACCCGTGATAAAGAAAAGAGTACTAACAAAGGGTAATCTAGCTGAGACATTCTAGTAAGAGGCGGGGAATAATTGCGTACGTGTGTACAAGAATGGTGTTGGCCCGTCTATACCATTAAAAACTGTCGTAAATTGTTAGGGAACACGTCCCTCTTCCTTATGGGAGGAGGCGACTGTACACAGGCTATGGAGGCATACTCCTCTACGTCAAAGGCAATTACAGTATTTCACTGACGCAGATTACGAGAAATTAGACAAGAGCCCCAAACTATAAAACAGGGCGTGCCACAGGGTTCTGTTTTAGGGCCTGTTCTGTTCCTGCTTTCCACTATGGCAACCAAGATCTACTGTTGATATTTTCGCAGACGATGCAACATTAACAGCTACTGCGCACTTTTCGGATATTTAGTCGCTGACCCAGTACCTACAGTAAATAAGACCCTTCGCAAAAACTTTTAGGTGTAACTCTTGACAGGAATATGGCTTATGACTCACATATTGACGAACTTTGCAAAAAGAAATATTCAAACACCTACATTAGGTCTCCTTAAGCACGTGATTCCCTAGGTACAAAGGCAAGAAAGATAAAGTTACAACGAAGTTATGAAACCTATTTTAATGCACGGGCCATCGTTTGGGACAGCTCCTATGCGGAATGTCGCCATGGGATTCTCAAGTTTCAATAACTTGAATTGGGTGCTTTTTATTGAGCACTCTTTCAATAAAACAACCTCTTTAGTTTATAACAGCTTCGATGATAATTCTAATACCCCGATTTACAAAGATGATTTATAAATCAAGATTCGGACATACCAAGACAGCGCTCTTTATTTCGATCTAAACTTAGTCTGTTCTAAATACTCTAGGAAACCTAGGGAGGGAGAACCTTTACGGTCAGAAAAGTTACAAGGTTGATCACAAGTCGTTATCTACAATTTCCTGTTCAAAAGTGAGCTGTAAATTATTGCGATCGGTAGTCAATGTTCTTCGTTGTATCACCAGCGTCAAATCGGCAGCCATCTCGTTTCCTTTTAAATTTCCTTGGCTTCCCGTCACTTTCTTCCTTGCGAAACAACATTGATTCAAGGCTTGTTTAAACTCGGGAATTCGTAATGCGTATACGACAGGATTGATAAAGGAACTGGAAAAATACATAAACAAAGTTACAAGGAAAATGTTGTCAGACATTTTGTATTCAAAAAAGTCTGCCAAGTTGTAAACGACTGCAGGCAGCCAAGAACTCAAAGCCATAACAGAAACAAACATCAAAGCCTTTGTTAAGCGCTTGTTTTGTAAGGCTCTGTTGTGCAAATGAGGAACAGTTTTTTGTTGAAATTTTCTCCAAATACCGATGTTCAGGCCACAGATAGTTAGAACAAAAGACAAGCCGTATAAACATAGTCCAAAAAATAAATACACTACGCTTACGAAGTGCAGGAGAAAAACTGTAAAAATAGAACCAAGCATACCCAACATCCACGGCGTCAAAATAACGAACCTGTATGCTCGCGCAGAAAGTGTTCGGTGCTTCAGCGGCCAATAGATGGCGTAAAATCTCTCAGCAGATATCAAAGCAGCGGTAATATATGAGACTTGGGCAAAAACTACAATAATGATTTTGAGAAAAAACGGGGATCTTTCTATCGTCAACTGGTGTCGAGTCACAATGATAAAAACAGATATAGGAAGACACACACTTCCCAACGCTAGATCAGCAAACGCCATATTTATAACAAGATATAAACTTTTCTTGACGCGAATCTTCTTGATAAATGCAAAGATAGCAATTGTGAGCAAGTTTCCCAAAGTAATGAAAGCAGCTTCGCAAGTAAGAGCACAACTCCAAGCAATGACTTGTGCCTGAGAAAGGGCTTCCTCTGTTTGCAAAGGGGACACAACGAGTGAAACTGTGGTAGCTGATGTATTTTTCATCTCTTTTTTCGTTTTCACGTTATGTCAACGCAT